CATTCAGTCCCCATGCCTTCTCCCTCTTTCCAGTAATTGTTTCTTCCCAGTTACATGGCTTCTGTTCTGGGCAAGAGTGATGTCACGGTTGCTAAGGTGCTTCAGCACAGACGTCACCCCATGTGTGGCAGTCTAGCCGCCTCCCTCTTGCCACTCAGAGGGCGATTAATAAAGTCTAGAACTGTCTGTCAGGGGGAAACCACTGGCACACTGGGTCACAGCAGACCGAGTTTCTTTTAACAGTTGTTACATCTGCACACAGTAGCAGGCAGCCATAACCACAGGACGCTATTATGGGAACGAAGGGCCGTACAGGAAACGAGTCCCGGTTTCCTTCTGACAGTTGTTTCAAATGCAGAATACAATTTGAAGTTCTGGAATACAATTTGAAGTTCTTAAACGACAAATATATGTATGTGTGTATGTGTGTGTGTGTGTGTGTGTGTGTGTGTGTGTGTGTGTATTTTCTTAAGTTTTCGCGGGTACTTACATGTATGGTATTCAGCTTTGTTCGGGTATTTTCCCATGTCATTGTAGTTGTGCCTTTAAAGTTGTAGCAACATTTCAGCAGAATCTCATCTGCCATCATCAGGCTTCTGTACTGTGTTCATCTGTATATATATGTATGTATGTTTGTATGTATGTATGTATGTATATGTATATGTATATGTGTATGTATGTATGTATGTATGTATGTATTAATGCTCCCTCAAGATACAGGTGGTCCTCAACTTACGACCACAATGGAGCCCAACCTTTCTGTTGTTATTTAGACATCTGTTAAGTGAATTTTGCCCCATTGTACGACTTTCCCTGCCACTGTTGTTAAGTGAATCACCTAGCGGATAGTGAGCAACCCGGCTGTAAAGTGAATCTGGCTTCCCCGCTTCTGCTTGGCAGAAAGTCACCAAAAAATAAATAAATCACATGATCCTGTGACACAGCAATGGTCATAAATATGAACCAGCTGCCCAAGCATCTGGATTTTGATCACATGGTCACAGGGATGCTTGGAAGGTTGAAACTGTGAAAAATGGTAATAGGTCACTTTTTTCAGCACTGTTGTTAACTTTGAATGGTCATTAAATGAATTGTTGTAAATTGAGGACTACCTTATTGCATTTATCTTTGCTTTAGACAGGATAGAGCTTTAGATTTGTGTGTGGTGAGTGTATGTGTGTGTGTGTGTGTGTGTGTGTAGATGATGCAAAGACTCTAAAAATAGTTTGGGTAACAATGCCTATAGACCCTTGACCACTGGACAGAATAGAAATAGCAAGAGCACCTAGACTTATATACCGCTTCACAGCGCTTTTACAGCCCTCTCTAAGCGATTTACAGAGTCAGCCTATTGCCCCCAACAATCTGGGTCCTCATTTTACCCACCTCGGAAGGATGGAAGGCTGAGTCAACCTTGAGCCTGGTGGGATTTGAACTGTCAAATTGCAGTCAGCTGGCAGTCAGCAGAAGTAGTTTGCAGTACTTCACCCTCCTCAGTTTACAACTGCAACTGCAACTTCCCTTATGCTATGCAAGGTAGTTCTTAAGCAAGTTATAACTGCAATTAAATGAATCATGTGATCATTAAGCGAATCCAGTCACCCCTTTCCTCCCCCCCATCCCCCCACTCCAATTGAGTTTGCTTGTAATAGGCCAGTCGGGAAGGTCAAAAATGGCAATCCCATGATCCTGGGAAAGTGCAACCATTGTAAATACAATTGTAAATTGTAAATACCAAGTGGTTCAGTTTTGATCCCATATCCATAGGGATGTTGCGACAGTCATAAGTGGGAGAACCAGCTATAAGTAACCTTTTCAGTGCCATTGTAACTTTGAATAATTGCTAAACAATGGTTATAAGTCAAGGATTACCTGTACCCAGAGGTGGCATTCAGCAGGTTCTGACCAGTTCTGGAGAACCGGTAGCAGAAATTTTGAGTAGTTCAGAGAACCGGCAAATCCCACCTCTGACTGGAGATTTTACAGTATCCTTCCCCTGCCACGCCCACCAAGCCACACCCACAGAACCGGCATTAAAAAAAATTTGAATCCCACCACTGCCTGTACTTAGTGGGATAAACTTAGTAGTTCAAACGCGGTGGGTGGGGATTTTTGCTTAAACATATATACGAAAGCATCTGTGAATGCTAAAAGAGGTTTCCAGTTATTCTGAGGATACTTTCATGAGATATAAATATCTCTGCTAGTTTTGATTCATTCTGAATAGACCTAGCAAAGCTTTTTGGCTTTTCTGAGTAGCTTCTTGTAAGCTCTTTGATCTTGCCCTTTGTTGAGACAAAGAAGGGCTGTTCTATTGTGCCACTATCCCCTCTTACACAAAAAAGAGACCACACAAATTAATTCCCCATTTAAACCACAGTCACCACAGTCATAAAATGATGAACTGGAGGCAGCAGTATCTGCAGCAGTAACGGTGACACATACAGATTTATTAAAATGAGCACTAAGAACCGTAAACCATAGTCACTTAGTACTGAATCCAAAAGTAGTCCAGCACCCTTCCCCTCAAAACAGGGTTAGAATTGCCAACCTAACATCTCAGAAACAAATTTAGATATAGAACTTGTTTCATAAACCCCTACTGAAGAAAACAGCACGGTATTTCTTTCAATTTTAATATCCCGGAAGAACTGCAGCCCGCCACTTACATTTCCACCTTGCTAGCTTGAATTATGGAAGCTACATCCAGACTCTAACTCATCAAGAGAGCACTAGGATGATTTGGAGAAGGGAATGATTTTAGGAAGCTTTTTCCCCCTTCTTACGCACTTAGAAGTTTCCAAATAATTCGGCTATAACCCAACCTAGCAATAGATAAAAGATTAGTCTGCATTAGTTAATAGTTCACTGGCTGATCTGTACTGGCTCCAGTGGCAAAGTGAATTACACCACTTCTTCCCCTCCAGTGGCGGGATTCAATTTTTTTTTTACTATTGGTTCTGTGGTGGGTGTGGCTTGGTGGGTGTGGCAGGGGAAGGATACCGCAAAATCTCCAGTCAGAGGTGGGATCTGCCAGTTCTCCAAACTACTCAAAATTTCCACTACCGGTTCTCCAGAACTGGTCAGAACCTGCTGAATCCCACTTCTGTTCCCCTCAATGAATGAGTCTGAAACGAATGAAGTCAGGAGTTCTCAGGAATCAATTTTGGGGTGGAAGGTTTGGGAGCTCAGTTCAGTCCCTGCACTGAGAATTCTTGAATTCCTAGACTTTCTTGCTTTGTACCAAATTAATCAGAGTTCAATGAAAAAAAAATTGGTTCTGTAACTAGGAGGGGAACAGTAACCACAGAATTTGAGATGTTGAACAGATGGACATTTTTTTCTTCACCAGAGAGCAAGAAACCCATGCAAACAATGAAACATCTGAAAACCACAACCTCTCTGAATGTAGACAGTCATGTTTTACATTTGTATCTAAAAAAAGAGCATGTTTGCTTATTCAAATATATATCTCACTAAGTCCAGTAGGATATGCAGCCAGGTAAATTTTCTCACTGAACATGCTTTGTGAAACATAAGCCCACACATCTTTGCAATGTAAGAAACTAGTTCAGTGAGCACCTATATGTGATGCTTTTCCATCTAGAAAATCAGCTGCAAATGTAACTAGTTGGGCCAAAGAGTAGTTTCCCCAAAAAAATATCTCACAGAAGCCCTTCCTCCCCCTCCCTTGGTAGATTCAAGTCCCCAAAATGGTTTGCCACCCATTAATTTTTATTTACAGTACTACTTTCATGGACTGGAAGACATCAGTCAATTACTAAGTTTAAATTGCCTCCAGATATTAAATGGTAACAATCAAGAAGAGAGGCTAGCCCACCCAGGAGATATGTCCCCTAGCTTCTCCAAGCAAATCCAGGACAATTGGTCAATCCCAGGACAAACAGGTCCACTACAACAGAGGTCACCAACCTGGGCAACTTGAAGACTTTTGTGGACTTCAACTTCCAGAATTCCCCAACCAGCCAATTCTGGGAGTTGAAGTTTCACAAGTCTTAAAGTTGTCAAGCCTGGAGACCTTTAGCACATCAAGAAACTTCTGGTGGCTCCGTGGAAAACTTGCGCTCCCAGCTTCGCACTTCCCACCATCCCCACCAGAGAGAGAGGCGTTAAGTTTTGTCAGGAAAGGTGGGATGGGAGGAGTCGGGATGGCAGCAGCAGGCTAAGATCACAAACACACCAGAAAGTGTGTATGTGTGTGAGTGTGTGAATCTTCCTCCCCTCGGCTACCTCTCTCTCTCTCTCTCTCTCACAGGGGACCTTCAAGGTGCGGAGAAGCGCATCCAGAAGTACCGCAGGTGGATTTTGTCTATGGAGATTCTCAGTCATCCAGGTCGTGGTTGTCCCAAAGGTGCTTTCCCCACCCCCAAGAGGCAACTGGACTTTTCTGGTTTTTCTGTAAAAAAGGCTGAAGAAGCTTCTTAGATGAGAAGCGAAACGTCTTCAAAGAAAAACCAGAAAGTCCAGTTGCCTTTAATTTTGGGGTGGGGTGGGGGGGAGAAGCACCTTTAGGACTACCGCAGGTGATGGAAGGAGGACGACTTACCACCCGCGTTGACCCCAGGCAGGCCTCGGAGGGGAGGTTGGGAGGGCAAAGGCGATGCCTTCGCGGAGAATGAACGGGAGGCGATCAGCCTGGGGGTGGAAAAAGGCAGCCCTTCCTCGCAGGACTGGGCAGCGAAAGCCCGAGTGGCCGGGCGGGCAGGGGGATCTCCTCCCTAGTTCCCAGTCTTTGGGGTCACGGGAAAGGCAGGGGCTAGACGAGCGCCGGCAACGGCGTTCATCGGGTCCGCAACGAGACACACCCAGGACTGGCAGGAGTGTGTGTGTGTGTGTTGTGTGTGTGTGTGTGTCTCGAGAGGGACCGAGGAGGGCCGGCGCCGGGTTAGGAGGATCGCGCGTGTGCAACGCTCCGTTCTTGCCGCCGCGTCTCCCCCCCCCCACCCTCCGGCAGGGCGGCGTCCCCTTCTTCCCCTTACCTTCCTGGCTCGGGGCAAGGTGCCCCCCGAGGCCGCCAGCGCTTTTTCCAGCTCCGACGCTCGACCCCCGCCGGGAGGTTCCGGCCCGGCCACGCTCGCCGCCGTTTCTTGCGCCGGGGCTCCGGGCCGGAGGCGCCGAAGTCTTCGCAGGGTCATGGCTGGAGAGCGGGCGGAAAGGAAGACAGACGGGCGGCCGCCGCCACCGCCGCGCCACACGATGCTGTCTGGGCTCCGGGATTCGATGGTGTGCGTGTGTGTGTGTGTGTGTGTGTGTGTGTGTGTGTGTGTGGGGAGGGAGGGAGGGAGGGAGGGGGGCGGGGGGGAAACACGCCCCTCCGCCCTTCTCTAGGCGAGTCAAGCCTCCGTTTGCAAAGACAGCGCCGCTGAAGGCCCCGCCCCGCCTTCGGGAGGCCCCGCCCCTCGGCTCACCGCTCCCAGCCCGGCGCCGAGAAGAAAACTCACCTTTCTGAATTGGAAGCGCTGCTCTCTTCTTCATCGGGCTTGTAGCTCTTGCCGCCTGGACGCTTCCCAACACAGGGAGACGAGGCGTCCCTTGGGCGAGCCGGCCCCCTTTTCCCCCCCCCCCCCCCCCCCGCTCCACTTGGCCCATTCCTCCCAGGAAGGCTTTCCTTCTCGGGAAAGGACAGGAGCGGCAGCCCGAAGTTAAAGAGAGTTTGACAATTCCATTTCTCCAAGCCGCTAGTCCTCCGTGTTCTTATCTTAGAGGCCAAGCTGGCGGCTTGCGGAGACCGCTTCATTTAGAACCTTCGAGGACACCTTAACAAGCGAAGCGGAGCCCCGGCGTTTCAGCCGTCTGCGGTCGGCTCGGCTTTATTTTTAGTTTTATTTTAATGGCCCAGGTAGCGGAGCTCCCGCTGCGGTGCGCCCGAGGCTGAGAAACCGGATTTCGTTGGTCTGTTTCTTCAGGTTAAAAAAAAACCAAAACCGCGATCCCTGTAAAGACCGCTCAAGCTTTGAAGCGCAAATCCGAAAGTGTCTCAAACGACTTCGGTTTTCTCTCTGGTCCGCACCGTTAGGTTTGTGGGAGGTTTGTGGGGCGATCGTGTGCGAAACCGGTCCAGTCTTTTTTTTTTTTTTCCTTTACGTTTGCTTCCCCCAACTCGGCGCCCCTCCATTGTACCGCAATGCAACTCCCCTATTCGGAGAATTTGGGAATCGACCACAGATCAGGTTTTCTCAACCTTGGCTATTTGAAAGACATGACGACTTCAATTCCCAAACTTGAGAAACCGCCATTTAGATCACGGGTAGCTTTGCTGGCTGGGGAATTCTGGGAGTTGAAGTCCGCCAGGCTTAAAGTTGCCAAGGTTGGAGACCCCTCATTACTGCTTCTGGGGAGAGCGACGGAACAGCTCGAGGTTCCTGAAACGAAGCAAAGAAACTTCTTCCTAGTTAGTTGCTTCTAGTTTTGTCCACAGACGGGATGCTTTCAGAATTGTGGCCCAAGACTGTAAAGTCACAAATGAAATAAACATTCATGGTCTGCAAGGAAAAATGTGGGAAGGATGTGTGGTAATGTAGCTCCTTCTAGCGTCGGCATGGATACATTTCACAAGAAACCTTAATTGCCAGAAAAAACTCGTGAGAGAAGCCTGCATATCAGTTATATACCTCATTCATTTACAAGCAGCACATTGTTAGAAATAGTCTCTCGGTTCATTGTTAGTTCTACAGCTATGTGTTTTGTACAAATAGCGTAGGAACCTTTATTTCATCCCTCAGGTTGCAATTCCTTCAAAAAAATAAAATGGTGCTAATCAACCTGGGTTTTTAAGAGACGGATAATTAGATGGCGTCATGGATCTCACTTTCTTAAATCGCACAGTAGTGGAGTGAAGAAAGGATAAGTGAAAAAGATGAGCCATTATACAGATTCTTGCAAGTATTTGGATTGTTGCAACCTTACTTGCAGGTATGTCTGCATAGTTGTTTGCAAAGGTGGCTGAATTGTGTAACATGCAGAGTCTAAGGAGTTTTCAGTCCAAGGGAAAAAACTAAAGGAAAGGTTGCTGTTTGAACTGAAAGATTGCAGCATCTCTCAGAATTTAAAAGGCTGCTTTTGCGGCCCTTTATGTATAGATAGCGCCGGGGTTAAAAGTTGATTATTATATTCTACTATTATTACGTTGTACCCGATTTACAACTGGCCATCTAATGAAAGTTCAAAAATACGAAGTTCCAGAAAGTAAAGCACTTCTGGCCATTCTAAAACAGCGTGCTGTTCCCTGCCCCCCCCCCCTCCCCTGCTGTAATGTGCTTGTGATCTGGAAACTTGACAATCTGTGCACACTTACAACTGGTTGGAAAGTGCCCTCTTTTCATGTGATGGTCATTTGCAATCTTCTCTACGGGATTCTCCAGAAAGTCAATGGGGAAACCAGCAGAAAAGGTCGCAAGCTGCTGAAGAATTCCTCCCCACACCCCTGCTTGAGAAATCCTTTAATCAAGCTGCAGAAATCTCTGGGATCCAAACTTTGTTTTTCTGTAGCCCAATTTCATGGATGGAAGGGAATTGCTTGCTCTCCTTTGGCAGGCAAGTCTTTTACCGGCTGCTGAACAGCTGCAACCGGGAGAGCGGAATTGTTGAGCAGTAAACAGGGATGTCTTTGCTGAGCAACTGCTTCACTAAATGATCAAGATTCTGGGCCCAATTGTGGTCTTAACTTGAGGACTACCTGTATAAGCACTTATAGACTGTCCATATAAGAGATCAGATCAGTCTTTCCCAGCCTAGTATCCCCCAAGGATTACAGTTCCTATCATCCCCTGGCAATGGGAAGGCTAGGAAATTGAAAATCTTTCTGGGACTGGGAAGTGTATATGAGAGAGAAAAAGAGACCCAGCGTTTTTTGCTCTCTTCCACCCTAAATCTCTCTCTCTCTCTGTGTGTGTGTGTGTGTGTCTATTCTAATCTATCAATTTGTAATCTCACAAAGAAGTTGGAAATGATGAAATGGCAAATGTGTCTATGCTGGGTTTCTAGTCTACATTTACTAATGTTTTTGGATTTCTACTTCTGGTGAGTTTTACACATCTTTCAAGTGTTCCATTGTTGTCATTCTGATTGCTCTCTGTTACAAGACATCATGCCAGGGTGTGAAACAAAGCATTTAAAAGGCGAGTGAGGTAGAAGTAATGATTGCGAACTTCAGTATTAAAATAAAAAAAATGATGCCCACAGGGCTAAAACTGGCAAGATTGACACAAACCAGCTCCTCCCCAACCGCTCCCCCCCCCAATAAAACTGAATCACTTTTGGAGCTGTTTTTACTGAAGACAGTTTGTTTCAATGCATCTTGTTAAGCTCATCAAGTGACTACAGCTTGCTCCAAAGAGTTATAGGTGTGATCCAGCCTCAATAAATCTAAAGCAGCAGAAATAACTTTCTTTCCTGTGATTTCTTTTTCATACCCCAGGTTTCCTCATTGGCCCTGTGGCTGATAGTGCTGGAATTCTGGTTAGATCCACCCCCAAGAGGCTGATCCATTGCTGACCCTTTGAGATTTCTGACGCCCCTTCTTCTGATTGGCTCCTGCTGATTCAGTCACTTGTTCCAAACATTAATACATGGACAAATGCCTTAAAGCAGAGCTGTCAAACTCACTGCATCACGGTGGCGTCATGTGACATATCGGGATTCCCCCTCCTTTCCCTAAACTGGGCATGGGTGTGGCCAGCACATGAGGCATCCAGCCCCACCCGCAAGTTTGACAGCCCTGCCTTAAAGCATAGACAATCCTCAGTATTGCAGTAGGGCAGATGAGATTGGTGTCCTTTTTAAAATTGGTAACTTATCTTGATGCTAATGAACATACAGTACTTTATAGAACTTGCCAATATAGTTTTATTTTTTAATTGAATGAAACCTGCACATTTAATTTGAATCATTAACATTATTATAGGATCCAATCTGGGTCAGTCACCGGGACCAGAGGTTTTGTCTTCCGAACTTTTGGACTCATGACGGAGCTCACCTTCAGGGAATTTCTCTCTAGCCTGTGACATGTATATTTGCCTTCTTTGATTAACATTATTCTTCCACAATTATTGAGAATTCACCCTTTGTCTAGCAAGGGCGCTGTGGCTCAGTGGCTAAGACGCTGAGCTTGTCGATCTGGAAGGTCGGCAGTTTGGCGGTTCGAAACCCTAGCACCGCATAATGGAGCGAGCTCCCATTACTTGTCCCAGCTTCTGCCAACCTAGCAGTTCAAAAGCATGTAAAAATGCAAGTAGAAAAATAGGGAACATTTTAGTGGGAAGGTAACAGCGTTCTGTGCGCCTTCACGGTTTAGTCATGCCGGCCACATGACCATGGAGACATCTTCGGACAGCGCTGGCTCTTCAGCTTTGTAATGGAAATGAGCACCACCCCCTAGAGCTGGAAAGGACTAGCATGTATGTGCAAGAGGAACCTTTACCTTTACCTCTACCTAGCAAGGAAACTCGGTGAATGGCGCTGCTGTGCTCGCCATTGAATGCATTGAGATCATGCCTCATCACATCTGACTGCTCTAGCTGATCAGGAGATGCCTGATTGATCAGCCTCCTCGGATGAATCATGGTTTGAAGATTCCTGAGACTAACAATACACAGAGTTGATTGGGACATTGTCAGAATTTTGCCCTATGACATCCTGCATTCATGGGAAAATACAGTACTAGAAAGAAAACATTCATTGTATTAACATAAAAGGAAGAACTGGTTTGTTTTCCATACAATTTACCCCAAAAAGAAAAATGCTAAAATAAAAAATACCAAAGTATCACACTGTCTGTAGTATTACATATGCTGTCTGTAGTATTACATATGCACAACAGAAAGGATAAAATTATAAGCAAGGGTTTATTTTTTTCTAACCTATTATTACAATGTGGATAGCTGAGGTTTGTTGTATTATGAGGCATGTCCAGCAATTATTTTGATGGAACAAGTTCTGGGCTAGGTCTCCACAGCTGATCTTAATTTTCAGAAAGGAATGAAGAAGTCAACAGCAACCAAATGGGAAATAAGACAAACACAAGAGTGCAGCAGCTGTAGAAAGATCACTCGAGAGACTAATGTTTTGTATTTTGGAACTCCCCTGGACTGACGTTCGCAATACATGGCTTTCTCATTTGGGGTTGTTGTTTGGAACATCTGTCCTTTCACAAATCGTCAGAGGCATCACCTTGCTTGCCCTTTTACGCAGAAGTGAGGCAATAGATTCCCAGTGCAAGGTCATGTGTGTTAATACGATATAAAAGCTTGATGGCTAGAAAATTTTTTCGATGGACTTAAAATTAATTAATTTAATCCAAAAGCTTTTTGAATAACAGTTCTCACTCCAATAATTAAAATATTGTACATAGATTGAGTACAAGGAATCCAAATAGTTATCCGTGCCAAGCTTTACAATAGCTGGAGGAACTGATCAACACAATGGGAAAGCATCCATACTCAGAGAAATTATCTGAAAAAGAAAAGCCACATTCATTGTTGGTTATACATCTACCAGCAGCCCTCGCTTAACAATTTTTATTGTAAGAATAATTTCCATTGTTTAGCGATGCACAGGACAAGTGGGCTCTCACATTACTGCGTCACTTAGCAACAGTCATTCTGGCACTCTTAGTTGTTGGTGTGAAACCAGGAGGGCTGAAGATCATTAAGTGAGGACCACCTTGTAACTTCTAATAAACAAAGTCAACAGGGAAGCCAACAAGACCCAGGTGGCTCACAATTAGGCTGGCAGGCAGGTAGATGGCTGCTGCTGGGAAGTTGAGGTTATGCGGGTAGACTGGCAATCTCAACATCCATTTTGAGTCTTCAGAAATATGTTTCAGTTCTCCATTTGGCTTCTGATACTGTGAAAGAATGTTTCTGCAATGAAACTAAAATGAAGTAAAAATGGAGATTTGATGGGTCTATGGAATCCTTTCACCTTATGTTCCACTTCTGTCTACTACTGATGGTTGTTTTACAAATATTATATAGGGAAGAGAAATAAAGGGCAGAGTCCTAACATCTTCATCAGGATTATGCACTGCCATAATAAAATAGTTCTTCAGAATTCATTTTGGAAGCCCCAATAATTTTTATAGTTTAAGGGATTCATTATATACTGTAGCTTTAAATCATTTATGTTCAGAAATGTTTTCATTCTCGAAGAAATTTAAATTTACTTGAATTTTAAATCCTATATTTTTTCTGAAACTATGCCTAATCCTGTAGATTTATTTTATTCCATATTTTACATGGCCTTAATCCCTGTGCCCAAATTATATTCAGAGGGTTATGCAAAATAGATCACATGGAAATCAAGAGACCAATTTCCATGTGATCTATATTGTAACCTTTTATAGCCCTTTGTTATTTAACACCCATATCAGATTAATTTATACATAACTTTAAGAAACAACACGATTTATTTTTGGCTTAGTAGGATGTCTGAAACCAGCTTAAGAAATAAACCATGAATGGCTTTTACAGCAAGTCATATCTGGGAATTAGAACGGGGTCATGGTTAGAACCCCTGACTTATCATTTTTTGGGTCCAGAGCTACAACTTTTTTTTCTGGCATCAACAGATAATTGAGGAAAACAAGCCAAAAATTGGAAAACACACCTTGTTCATATGCTTATCTGCCAGACCAACTCTGATTTACTCCTAATTTATCCTGGCCTCAGAGTTATATGTTAACACATCCATCAACTCAGAAGCACCCTTGTCTTACTTGAGGTTCTACAAAAATTGTGGTCAACTGGTCACACTCCAATCTATTTGTTAAAATATCAAGCAAATATGCAATTGTAACTGCTGCTCTCTACATGTTGTGTGGCTTCCGATGAGGGTGCTGTCATGCAGTTCCCAGTATTATTCTTTGCTTTTTTCTTCTTGTTGCTGGAGGGGGAAAAAGCTATCAGAAAGGGGAGAAATTCCATACTTCAATATCTTGTTATTAGCAATTCTAAGAGTATGCATTTGAAGGCACCAGTAGTGAAAGTGTAGACCTATTTATAGAAAAAGTTTGTGATAAATGTTAGGGACACTAGCAGACTTGATTATTCCATCTTTTTTTTTTTTTGGTACATGTCTGAGCAGAGTAAGAAGGCACAAAGATCCCCAGTCATGTGGCACAAAATTAGATGCCCAATATACAGCAGTGTTTCTCAACCGTGGTAGCTGGAAGATGTGAGGACTTCTAAGTCTCAGAATTCCTCAGTTACGCATCTTCCAGTTGCCATGGTTGAGAAACACTGTCCTAGAGTAAGCTTTAGTTTCCCTGTCCCTACTAGTCTGCCTGAGTCAAAGTATAATTACATGGAATTAACCTTGAAGCTGACACATTTATACCATTTAAAAGTTCAAGGATTTATTATAGAGGAGTTGATAAAAACATATTAGAGGAAGAGTACAAGCAGCGATAAAAATCAATTCACAAATATTCCCTAACTTACGTGTAATTGTTGCACCCCCTTTTAAGGTGACAGTATTACAACACTGGCAAATGATAAAATCCAGTCATGAGTTTTTTGTATGCTGCTCTCATCCTTTTCCAGATGGGTGCAGAATATTTTTGAGAACATAAAACTGTTCAGTTCTGCTATGCAGTGCTTGTTTGTCCTTGTTTGGTGGTTGATACAGATATATTTTTTCATTCTAAGGCTATTATGCCCTTTATGAGCCGTTTTAAATACATTCTAGGATGTTCTTGCTGGGAATTCTTTTCCAGATTGTTGGACCTGACATAGATTCAAAATCTGTAGATCAATATCTAACAATCTTTCTCCATTTTTTGGGGGGTCTCTTAAATGGATAGAGTAAATCAAAAATTCTCTAAAGAATGTTTTGAAAAAGAATGCACAATAGATTAACCCACGATGAATGTTCAGCATCCTTCTGGCTCTCCAGGGGGACAGCAGAGGGTACTATTAGTTGGTCAATCCCACAGCTATAAAGAGCACAACTGTCATGTCCTGGAATCATGCTTTTGGGGGGCAAGATTAAAGTATAACTCAGAAAACAAAATCCCAAACTTGTGACATATCCATTAAGCAGAACTTCATTAACACTGGAATTTTATTCATGCTTTACATGTAAGTAAATTCTACTGAGATGAGTGGCACTTGTTACCAGGCAATTATACAGGATGAATGTGTTGCACCAAAACGGTTACCTTGAACTTTTCACTCTTTCACATTTCTGGTTCATTGAGCAATGTCAGAAATTCCCTAGAAGTTCTTTCACAGATGAATAATCCTGAAGCGCAAGACCTCCATTAAAAAGGTAAAAGTTCCCCGCGCACATACGTGCTGGTCATTTCCGGCTGTAGTGCTGTCTGGTGAAGAGCCAGCGCTGTCCGAAGAAGTCTCCGTGGTCATGTGGCTGGCATGACTAAACACCGAAGGCGCATGGAACACTGTTACCTTCCTACCAAAGTGGTCCCTATTTTTCTACTTGCATCTTTACATGCTTTCGAACTGCTAGGTTGGCGGAAGCTGGGACAAGTAATGGGAGCTCACTCCATTATGCTGTGCTAGGGATTCGAACCGCTGACCTTTCTGATCGACAAGCTAAGCGTCTTAGTCATTGAGCCATTGCGTCCCTAGAACTCCATTAGGTAGCCCTGAATTTACAACTATTCATTTATGAATTGTTCGAAGTTACAATGGCACTAAAAAAAGTGACTTACAATCAGGCCTCATACTTACAACCATCACAACATTCCCCATAGTCACATGATTAAAATTTGGGTGCTTAGCAACCGGCATGTACTTATAATTCCAGCATCCCATGGTCATGTGATCGCCATTGGCAACCTTCTCAGCCAGCTTCCAACAGGTAAAGTCAATAGTGGGAGCCAATTCGTTTAATGATCACGATTAACTTAGCAACTGCAGTGATGTTTAATAATTGTGGCCAAAAAACCTGTAGAATCCAGCCTCACCAACTTACAAACACCTTGCTTAGCAAGGGAAATTTTTGCTCCAGTTGTGGTGTAATAAAATGATCACCTGTATTCTGAAATTGATTCAATTTAAACCCTAACATTTGCTTTATTCTCACAGCACAGTTCCAATAATATCGACAACACAATTTTTCCCCATAGTAATCTTTTATACAATTATTAGAAATGTAGCTTCATGTAGCTCAGTTATATCTTTGAGTTATCTTTATGTATTCATCTTTCCATTCTCTTAGCTAATATTAAAATTCAAGTATGTAAAGTACAGTGTAGATAAGTCAGAACAAACACATACAAAGTCAGTTTATGTGAATAAAAACAAACTTTTAATAATGTACAACCAAAAATTTGACAGCCTCATTCTTATATTAAAACAAAAGATTTCTTTCCTATATTACATCTATTTACATTTGCATACTGAGGAGATAAAGTGTCTAAGTGGCTATTTTACAGTCTTTCTCTAGTAAAACATATAAAACCTGAAACAAATATAAAGATCAAGAAGGAATCCATTTTTGGGACAAGAAAGACAGAAGAGACAAGACAATAGTACCAAGAATGATCTATTCTGAAGCCGGTGTGACCCCCAACTGTAAGTTATACTGTGTAAGTTTTGGAAAAGATTAGGGGCATTGCAAATGCAGTTTTCTACTGGGAAATTTCATATCAGGACTCTAGTCTGTTCGGATAAAGCTGGCTGATGTTCCCCAAATGGAATCCAGCATTGGGATTCTATCCTGCTATTTGTAACCCCAGGGCTGGGTTATTTGGCCATTGGACTAAAATTTCATGAAAAAAACCCTCAAAGTACCATGACAGTTACTGGTTTAATTTGCAATGGAACCTCCTACTTTTTTTAAGTAACTATGAATGAATGGTTAGGAATGGAAGGAATGCTATTGTTACCATAGAAAGGATATTTGCTCCTCTTAGTCAAAAATGCCAACTGCAGTAGCTAACTATGTTATTGGAGTGATAAAGACACATCAAAGAAATGTCTTAAATAAGCACCCAACTCTGCTTGATTAAAACAGTGCAGTTTGAGGGACCTTTTTTTGAATATGCCTACAATTTGAAATCAGGTAAATGTTCCTGTTTTCCATTTAGGAAAAACAATCCTTTGGTCATTTTTACTTTGTCATGAAACAAAAAAAGGAAAAAAATTCTAAAGAGTCCAATACTGCTGGATTAATTTGAGGGTTTCTTTATGAATAAAATGGTTCTTGTCCTCTCTGGATTGGATGCCAAGAGGGCAGAGCTGAGGTGCCAACAGATATGATCTGGATTATTTTGAGTTTGTGGAATCCAAGTATAGCCTGATCCCCCACCAAAATGTTGTATTCTCGACTCATTCGGTGGCTGGCTAGGGTGTGATCAGCTGGAACTGGTAGGTTATTTATGCTTGAGAGAAGCTGATGTCGCCTGCTTTGAAGGGGGTAACTGAAGAAGAAAAGCCTGGGTTCAGCTTGATAAAGTTTGATAAAAGTTTGCCCTATATGTTGTAATCTACCCTTCCTAGGAAATGGTGTTGAGAAATACTGGGTAATTAACTAGAGAAGATCCTAGAGGGAGCAGATTATCTGGACCCTGTTCAGTCAGGATCCAGACATGATTATGGAACAAAAATGGCACTGGCTTTCCTGATAGGGAAACTTCCTTCAGATGCAGATGGGGTGAGGGGACTATGCCCCTCTTGGTTTTATCAGAACCAAGCAGTGTACAAATGCCATCAAGAATACCATGGTGTCCTTCATACAGGGAGTTTGAGGCACCATTTTACAGTAGTTCTGCTCCTACCTGAGAGTGTGGTCAGTCAATGACTTGTGGGAGATGCACCTGAATCCATGAAAGCTTCAGTGTGGGATCCCTCAGGGCTCCATGTTGTTTAAAAACTATATGAAATGGTGTAACAGGTGATTTACTGGTTCAAGCTAAGCTGATAAGTAGCTTTTAATACTTTGGAAGAGTCATCTTGAGTGACGGTTTTTGGAGAAAGAAATTGACTCCAGGATCAGCATGGATAGTCAAGTACTGGGATGGCTATGTACTAGAGTGCTCAATCAATACAGCATCCATATCTCCACGAAGCAAAAAGTCTACAGAGCTGTGGTTAGCCCATCCCTCTTATATAAATGTGAGTTCTGGACTCTGCATCAAAGACATATCAAACTGGAGAAATTTCACATGTGCGCTCTCCAATCAACCCTTGGCATTCATTGGCAAGACAGTCTCCAAACTGGGAGTCCTGGATTATGCAGAGTCCACCAGTACTGAGTCCCTAATTATCAGAGGTCAGAGGACTTGGGTGGGATATGTCCTCAGCATGGATGACCACTGTATGCCTTGCCAGTTGCTCTGGAAGCTCTACAAAGACACTGAATGAAACCCTAGGCCACTGTGACACCCAGCCGTGGGAACTAGAAGCCACAACTAATGACAGAACATGCTGGCAAGCCCTGTGCTGTGAAGTCTTCACCAGCTTTGAAAATAAGGCGCTATCAAAAACTGGGGGGAAAAAACCTGTGGACAGTATCAACTATAAAATATAGTACCTTCTTTGAACCCTAAGGACTGCCAATGCTCTATTATACTTCACAACCCTATAGATGTTTTGAACCAGCATCTGTGAGGTTTGGATGGAGCAAGCTAACATAAAATTCTGCAAGGCAGGGTTCATAATGATCAGTAGACCATTCTGGACTGCATTATCTCCCCCTGAAGGATGTAGTTGTCAATTTGAGGTCTGCATGATTCACAATTTCTACTTAAATGACTGGTGGAAACTGTGGCTTTGTGCTATTTACAATCCTAAATAGAACAGGATGCTTTGTTTTCAATAACTCAGATTTTCATTACTACTTGACTACTGCAATGTATATTACAATGAGCTGCCTTTGAAGACAATCTGGAAGCTGTACCTGATACAAAATGTGGCAGTAAGATTATTGGCAAGATAGCCCCATCTAGCCAGAATTACACCTATATTAAAGATCCTGCATAGGTAGGTGGTAAGCTTCTGGGCCCAATTCAAAGTGCTGGCCATTAGCCATAGAGCCCTAAATGGCACAAAGTGGGACACATACAGGCAATATACCAGTGTTCACTGGTTTAGTCATCAAGAACGTGTCTGAAAATTCTCTCCCTTGTGAGGTTTATAATATCCCCCAACTCAGGGAATATTCTCCCTGCAAAAGTACATGCAGTCCCCACCTAATGTAAACAGGTTAAATCTATTTTATTTCAGTGCACTTTTGATCCTGGATGACCATCTTATCTTTTTATTTCTGCTCTCTGTAATTATTTTTTGTTATTGATAAGTATTTGAATTTGGCTATTGTTATAGGTTGGAATTTTTTGTTTTGATGTTGTACAATTCCTCAGTTTTTGATGGGATTCGAGCAGATCACAGGCACTATTAAATAAATGACCTTTCATGCAGAATTAGAACTGATTTATTCTGAGAAGGAAGCAACTGATATAATATTTGTAGCAAATTACCATAAGGCGTAATTGGGGGAATTCTATTCCAATTTAAATTGACTTTATATATCTGCCTCTGAGCCAGTGGTTCTCAACCTTCCTAATGCTACGACCCTTTAATACAGTTCCTCATGTTGTGGTGACCCCCAACCATAAAATTATGGCTCGGTTCCTAAGACCATCGAAAATATGTGTTTTCCGATGGTCTTAGGTGACCCGTGAAAGGGTTGTTCGACCCCCAAAGGGGTCGTAACCCACAGGTTGAGATCCACTGCTCTAAGCTGTAGGAATAAAATGTCAAGAAGTATGCAATATGAAAAGAACACACACTTTGGCAAAATTATTTAACACTTGGGAATACTTGGAAACAAAATATATTTAAGGGAAATACACACTTTTTAGCCTCAAGTTAATTTCATGTCTATCACTTAAAATCTTCAACTTATCTATGAAAATCAAATGGCTCTTTTAATTGGAGGTGGATTTGACAGTAAAATTATACACATGAACGTTTCCATTACCTGAGCTCCAAGTGTAAATCTTCGTGATACGTTGTTCTCAATTCCAACTCCAGCAATCATAGATGCCATTTCTTATTTATGAAAATATATGATTAACATAAATTTCAAGGTGCCTTTTACTTTAGATCAGAAATGCATGGAAGATTTTAGTAAATGGTGTCCCTTTGCTAGAGATTGGTGGTGGTCTCTGGCTCAGAAATGATCAGACCAAAATAATAGAAAAGGGCAAGTTTTACAATCAAAAGCACAAATCCCAATATGCCTACAAACAAAAGCGCCTGAGATTTCAAAACACAGCATTAAAGGAAGCTACAACTTGTTACAGACCTAAAGGAACATCTCAAATTGACTCTAATACACAATGCAACTCTGCAATGTATAGAATACAATCAAAGACACAGAAAGGTTAAGGGAGAGGGAAGGAAAGACGTACACATGCCTACTCTGACAAACAACAAATACAGAATGTTTTATATTCTTATAAAATCCCCAGTCCAAGAAGGGATAACTCCTCCTCTTAGTAGTCAAGGGTTCATGGTTTATATAGAAACAGTTCCAGTGTAAAATTGAGCTGTGTGCATTTCTCAGTTTTTTTTCTTTTTTTGCAGTGATTTCTTTATAAACAAATGAGAGGTAATTATCTATTTTATAAACAATAGTAAAAAAAGTTAAAATCCAGCCCCTCCGTTAAAATAAGAATTAAAAAAAATAATCAAACCACTCCAGTTAAATGTTATGGCTTCAGGAGTTATCTATCAAACACCCAATCTACACATAATGGAGTCTAATGCATTATCTGCATCACAATACAATCTGAGGCTGTCCCCCCCCCCCCGCCCAAAAGATGTGACAGCCTAATCAGTCCTACTATGCCCTGATCATTTAATTCAAACAAAATGCATGCAGTTAATCCAGTCCCAATCCTTCCCTATCCCACCCCATCCCATGCCCAAGTGACACAAAGTAGCTTCCAGAATAAGGGAGACCATATTATATTTAACTGTCTATCTATATATATATATATGTACACATAAACACACACACACACACACACACACACACACACACACACACACACACACCAGCTTTATTTTGCAGTCATTGATCCTTGAAAGGACAAATGTTGCCAGGAAGTCTCTGAGTGCATATTTCTCCGTAGCCATTTCATTTGGTAGAGAAATGTAAAACACTGGAGTTGTTCTGCCAAAGGCACCTTGAGAAATGGAAGGGCAATGATCCTAAACGGTCAACTTCGTTTGTCTTTCTTTAAGTAGGAAAGCACCAATTTCAGCAGATACCTAATTCTTCTACAACTCTTTCCATTGCTACCCATTATGGGACAATTTTAAACTAAAAAACAAACACGCACAATCAAAGTATTTTCCCTGCTTTAAAAAGGGGGAAGAATGGCAGTGAAACACCCCCCCCCCAAGTCTACTATTTAGCAGGGCAGAACCCTACTCCTTCCTAGTGAGAAGACAGCTAATTATCAGCTAGTGAGAAATAAGGAATTAGCACCTGCACTTCACAAAAGGACGCTCTACATTTTCAACATGCACAGGACCACAAGCAGACACAATACACACCTATGGGGCAAAGGGATGCATACCTTTGCACATGCACACACTGTAGTTCTGGCTTAGGATCTGTTGAGCTAGAAAAGGGCCACTATCTGGCCAGACAAAGTGCACACAAGGTGCCTGTGTGTACACGGCAGTCCTCAAAACCTTCCCCTTGCCACACTTTTTAATCCACAAGAAAGTATCTTCTTCTGCCAAGCCACAAGGCTTCCCCTAATCAGCACATAACTCAAATTTACAGGGATTTCCATAAGAGAAACAAGGTTATATTGTGACTGACATTCTCCTATACAAGCCCCTCAGAACGCTCTCGAGAGGGAATTCAAAAAAAGATGCGTTTCACTCTTGAGTGAGTGAAGTCTTTAATGTCGATCTTCCTCACCTGGCCACCTGCAGGCCAAGCTGTCCAGTTGATAGCAGCAGGCTGAATACAAAGACGAGGTAGGCCTTCTTCACCACATCAATTCTTGCATGGCAGCTTTTTGTGCACTTTCCTCAAGATGGTGCTTGCAGTCTAAATTTTCACATCTTCCTGGATACTGAGTTGAGAGAGAGTTTTCTTGATGCGTAAAGCTGTTAGTCGTGCTGCTCCGTTGGCATACCAGCACTCTCGCATCATCTTCCCCATAATTCGCAAAGCCTGGGAACATGGGGAGAACGGCATCAGGAGAAATTTCAACAGATCAAATCCATTAAAAAATCCATGAAAAATAGGCTGCTTTTATGCTTATGATGTGTTTTGTGCTTATGCTTTTTTATTAATATGCATTTAAAACTGCAGTGGCATCTTATTTTCTTATTAGGACTTTTAAAAAAATCTAGTCAAAATAAAATTCAGTGTTTGGTTTGGCTTGAAATGTGTGATGTGTGAATCCAATGTATGTTATTCAAAGTGCCACAGTTATGCAAATCCTAGTCCATTTTTACCTGACTGGCTAGAAGTACAATCAAAGCCAGAATTCTAATATCTTTCGTAGAAAATTCTTTCTTGTATGTGTGGATAGATTGCACAAACCTTATTCAATAAGCCAGAATAAAATGCTTCAGTACAAAACATTAAAAAGAGAGGCGAGTTGGTAACTGGGGTTTTTTATCCAATTGCTACCAAGATTTCATGCCAACAATTTGCTGAAGCTTTCCTTTCCCCTCTAGCTAATATGACAAATACTATATTAAAAATTATGCTTTATGGCATGCTTTTTAGTTTTCAAGATCAACTGTACCTCATAACTCTGCCACCAATTGGGAATGTTTGGTCGTAGTTTCTGTTCACATACCACTTTTCGCATTTCTTCAATGGATGGGTCAGAGGGCACAAGGTCATAGTATGGAAGCTGATATTCTTCATGAATACCTAAAAGGAAAAAGAGAAACAAGCTATTATTTCTTATGAAAGTATCTTTTACATAGGCACAGTAGCATTAATGATATAGAATGAACAACCTGCAAAAGGAGCGGGAAGTATCATACAATATGGAACTTAGCAGTGAAGCTGGTATCTGATGATGTGTGCAAGTTGGTTTTCAATAATGATAAATTATGATTATATAATAACAACAACAATATGTGCACAGGAAAGAGTCTGTGGCCTGCTTCTTTAACAATATTTTTGTTACCAAAATAGAAAACAATATAGAAAATAAGAAAAAAAGAGTTATATATATCCAGCAAATATTAAATGAAAAATACTCATGATGATCCTAGAAAAAACAAGAACATTATTACCTACTATTGTATTCTTTACTCTAACAGTGTATTAAAAATATTTTTTCTCCCAAGGAGATTATAAATAATGGCCAAGTTAAACCTAGAAGTAATATATTAGTCTTTTAGTTTTGGTAATTGAAGACTTTCCCAATATACAGATCCATATGAAATTATTTCTCTTTACATTTCTCACAATGAGATCATTTTAGATTTCAACGACTGCTTTTTCCAAACTATTTTTCAATATTACGTATCATGATAACAATAAACAAAATCTTTTTCCCTCCTTTTAAACACAAATTCAAAACATGTTTATGATTATTTCACCTTCTGTATTTGGGAACCAGTGATTTTCCTGAATACTACTACACAGTTGTAGCTTGCACAAAAATGTTCAATTAGAAATTAATTGCCAATCTTATTATATACACCACTTAGAATTACTCTGGTGATTGGGATGGCATAAAAACAAATAAATATAAGATTTTTAAAAATGCTCGTCTTATCTACTGATGTTTTTTAAAAGTACCTAATTCGTATAATATAAAAAGGTGGTTTTTAAAAACAGGAATTTGCTCTAGCAAAATTATTCTTACAACTACTTCTGCAGTTCCTTTGTTATTGCAAAATTCTGATTTCAATACTTTTTACAGAATATTAACAACATTGGTATCTGAGTTAGCTTTTTAACATTTCAATTATATCTTAATCCTTTCTTTTTAATGAAAGTTATTAGTTTTATCCCTGAGATTAAAAAGTTGTGTTATTAAGTTTGTGACAGAATAATTATTTTATCTTATTTTAAAGTGTGGCAATTAAAAAAATCAACCATGGAAAGACTGCTTTTTAATTTATTATATTTAAGTTATCTTTTGTTGCCTAATTCAGTTTAATTTATTTGATTTAGGAGCAGTCTGACTGAAAAAAATCTTTCATCATTTCACCCAATTCATTTTTTAAAACTGTATAAGGCTTGTCTTCTTTATCATGGATCTTCTTTTTGTCTAGTTTAACATTGAGTGTGTTCTTTTTTTGCTATATAACATTAAATGTGAGTTTTTCTTATACAAATGAGTATAATTCCAATTAGCATATTCATCTTAGTATCTACAGTCTACGTAAGCATTTCAGTTATACTATTTGATGTGATAAATTTAACTTATTTTAATGAGATCTGAACAACACATGCATAGATATTAAAAAAACTTTGCTGTATGTAGTTTTATTGAGATGTTGGAACAGTAATATGCAGATACAATGTACTTTTACCAGACTTTCCAGAAGTGGAAAATTTTGAGTCTGGAAAATTTTGTGTTTCTTGCTTATCTCTTGACTTTCCTCTTTTCCATTTATGTAAGTTTAAATAATACTTTTAATACGCATAGACTGTAATTATAACCTATTTTCTGCTCCCTGCTTATTTCCATTTAATAAACAATATCATTTTTTCAGTTGATGACAAAAATTATAACTGGTCAATAAAAATATATAGCAAAAATTACCTTACTTTGGAATACATTCTACAGTCATGCAGATTAAGGAGGAATGTTTTTAATACTTTATAACATACCACCTCTGTTAATTAGCATACCAAAGAGAACAAGAAAATAACATTTAATGTTAATCCTGAACTGTAGCTTTGTAGTCTGAACCATGATGATCATTCAAATGTATTAAAGGACAGTCCTACTACAATGCTAAATCAGTGGAAAGAAAATCAGATTCTGAGTCAGCAACTTTATTTCCTTTGCATTAAAATGTATTGAATTGTAAGATCTTATAGGAGGGAGGGAGGGAGAGGGAGAGGGAGTGGGAGGAAAGGAGAGAGAGAGAGAGAGAGAGAATTCTATTACCTCCTGAGTTGCACCTGCGAGCAATTTCCCAATAAACCAGGCCAAGGGCATAGATATCAGCACACTTAAATGAATCAAAATGCTTCATGTTTATTGTTTCATCAAGAACCTCGGGGGCCATGTAACTGTAGCAAAAGAACAATCAGATTAACGGCATCTATTTGAGACACATATGTTTCACATATGCCACTTATACAGAAAATCATGCATCTATTGTCTACTATTATAAGAACAAAAATTCATTCAACAACTGAGGAAAGCCTATATTTTAGAATGTTTTATATTATTTGACTTTCTGTTAACAGCATTTTTAAAATGTTTACCAACAAAATCAAGCTAAAAAGAATGATAATTTTGTCTTGCTAGTTAGCAGCACTCTAAAGGGTTACTTGGCATGAAAGGTGAAGCAGGAATAGAAACACAAGTTTGTCAAATGATTTAGTTGTCTGCTCTGTAATACAGTATTTTTGTGAGTGATTGGATTTAGCTCTACAAAAAATATGGTTGCCAGAAGAGCTTGTTGAAATACAATGCGCAAGATTTTACACTACAGATATTAAGGGTTATCCCAAATAATTTACTTAGAAATCATTTTGAAAGGCGAACATATTAAAAGACAATGCAAATTTTAAGTATATAGTTCATATACAGATAAAAGGCAGTTGCCTAATTAATATGTGTTCAGCTATCATTAAAGATTATTATTCTCCTTTTACAATTCATCATTTAATGAACTGCTCAGGTTTATAAAAATGTTAATTACATTTCCAATGTGCATGATTTTTGTTAAAGAATATTTTATGCTGTAAAGTACCTTATTGGGAAACTCTTTAAATTTCAAAAGTAATTTAATGCTGTAATTAATTCACAAATACCCAATGCTAATGATGCATGTGAAAAAACTAATTAGACTTAACAGCTAATGGCTAAGACAATACAATTCTAAAAATGAAGCAACCAACAGGCTACAGAGTAAGAAAGCGTTCAAAATTACCAGCTGTATCTTTATCTACGCAACCCAGTGAGCTCAGGTATAATTACTCACCGTTTTGTTCCAACTCTTTGATTAGGGGCAATATCAATTGTATCAGTAACAGAATCATGGCGGACAGCTAGACCAAGGTCTGCAATGGCACAAGTTCCATTTTTCTTCACTAATATATTTTTGGATTTCAAGTCACGATGTGCAATGCCAGGTTTTCCTAACAAAGGATGAGAGAGTGAGTTTTGTTTATACACTCTGGCCAAGAAAAAACAAAAAAGGGAGAGTCATGGAAAAATCTTGGCTCAGCCATGATAATATTAATCTGAGATCTAGAAATTGTAATTTATACTGAAGGAAAAAAAGCAAGATCTTTTATCCAACTTCAACAATGTAACTTGAGTAGGTCTTCTACAGCCAACTCCTCCTAGATTAAGACAGTAGGACAGTCCATATATATTATTTCTATCTTGTTATATAATTTAAAATGTAGGATGAAGAACAGAAATTACCTAATCTCATTTATATCCTTCCTTAGCACATCAATCCTGATTATCTTAAAGTACAATTCCTCATTACTTTGAATAAGAGAAACTATGCTTAATGTCAGTTCATTAAACGGAATCTCTAGCCCACATATTCCAAACGTCTCTTCCTCTTAAATAAACAATATCAGATTTCTAAATCTTCTCAATATTAACCTATAAACTAATTCAATCCAGCAACAATCCAGGTTCCATTCATTAAACAATACCACCAACTGGAACCCTGAAAGTGCATCTTCTTTGTAGCAAACAATACTCTTTGGAATGCTTTCTCCCTGAGAACCGGCTGGCCTCCACTCTGCTGTTGCTTTGAGGAGCTCTTCACCTAGGCCTCTAGCAAGTGAGAATGAGATCCCTTGCTTCATGACTTCAAGTCTGTTTTGCTTGGCATCTTTTATTGGTTTTATTGTATTTTAAAAAAAAATTAAATCATCCAGAATCATTAAGAGTTGGGCAGAACACAAGTTTAACAACAGCAACAATGATAATTTATTAGAGTAAATGAATTTCTTTGTATCAAAAAAACGTATTCTCTTTTTTAGCTCACATCTATCAATAATAACAGAAGTTTGTTTTTCTAATTTCCAACTGTTCATTACCAAATGTACATTAGTACCCCTTACCTTGAGTCCCCACAATTTCCATGTGCAGATGTGCCAAACCACTGGCAGCAGACAGAGCCAATTTAATCATCCCTTCAATAGTTACAGTATATCGGTTGAGGTAATCAAACAGAGAGCCATGCTCATGGTAATCAGAGACCAGCCATAATTGTGTCCAAGTGCCATTATCTGTTGGCAATACAAAAAAAGAGGAAAATATACTGAAACAAGAAAATAACAATGGTCCTTTTTTAGAAGTCATTGAAGAACAGCAGATTCATTACTGCTTGCTACTATTTAGCACAGTTCAGAAATATATTATATTTTAACTATATCTGTGTAGCTATTTATTGTGGGATTTATACTAACGCAAGTTTGTACTATAGATTCATTTTCCTTTTCCAGTTTAGTCCTCACAATAATCAAAATATTATGGTAGAGATTGGATTTGGTAATATTTTCCTCTTCTCACCCTTGCCCCAGAAAATGCTGCTAACATGCCCTCTGATATAATGAGACCAATGGGAAATGAAGTGAGAAACAGGAATATCTGGAGGCGCAATGGCATTCCGTGGATGGCAGAGCTGACAACCACAGTAGAATGAGGAGCTGGTGAATGGATCAGTAAAGATAAAACCTGGGATGGTCCATAAATTCTCTATACCAGCTGTCTCCAACTTTTCCAGTTCTGAGGATCGCTGGGGGGCGGGGATGGTTTTGTGCAGGTGCGCTGCTTGCACAAATGCATCTTCTCAAGTTTGTCTGCTGCTTCTGTGGCCAGGGCCCTAATCCCTGGCTCCGGGCTGTAGATCAGGGGTTGGGGACCCTTACTCTATATAGTGGCCCCCTACAAGGAGATTGTAAGACACTTGCTCAGGTGGGTTTTAGAGCTCTGGGAATTATAGCAAAGGTGAGTGATTTGAATAATTGCTTACCTTGTATTTACAAAAGAGATGTGTTAAACTTCCAAGTTTTAGTAAACTATTTAAAGAGATTAAATATCAGGATTTGCTTCTGGTAGCTCTAAATAGATTTTCCTTGAACAGGATTTAATGACAAATAGATTTTAAAATATGTATGTATAGAGAAGAGATACAATAAGGGAACAATATATTTTTTGTTATATTTTCAGAAAAAGTGATAAGATATTGTGTTAAAAGGAAAGAAATATGAAACTGGTTTATTTGATTAATGTTAAAATATATACATTGTTATTTTCTCATAACTGAATGGACTTTGCTGATTAGGACTGAATGAAAAGGCTTTAAATTTTGTTTCTAGATAAGCACTGAGATAGGAATAATTGTTGTTGTAGTACAAAAAAGGTGATAAGTTATTAAAATTGTACTTGTTTTTATGAAGGGGGACTCTTTGAATATCTCTTTTTATATTTTTCGCTTTTCTTTGCACCTTTCCCTTTTCCTTAGTTTGTATTCATTTTGTGTATATTTATGTAAATTTTAACAAACATTATAAAAATATCTCAGAGGATCTGTACCCAGTTTTTGTGTTCAGGTTTGTCATTGTACAATACAGCTAACTAAACCAGGCTTATATACTTCTCTCCACAGAACAGTGATTGCAGACTGCTTTGTGTCTATAAAAGGCAGAAAAGACAGTTTATTTGATCGTAAAAGCAGAGAACAATAATGCTTAGGGGACGGAAATATAAAAGCTGATACTTGGGTTTGTTAGTCTTTGCTCCATTAGAAGGCAGTTAAAAACTAATGTGCAGGAATGTTGTCATCTCATAGAGCATTAGATTATTGAAGCTTGAAGAGCTTCAAAATAATGCGCTTTTCTGGATACTTTTATAGATGTTAACTGTGCCTCACAGCATACACTTGAATGTAATTAGATCGCCAAGTTATTTTAATATTGTTTGGTCTTGAATTCATCACACAGTGAACATTGTAAATAACTGATAACCAAGCAGATACTCAGGGTGTTTCCAGATAAACTTAACAAATTTGCATGAACTGCACAAGATCAGATCAGTTTCTCAATTTTGGTTTCTATTTTCTGACTGGATATGTTTCCAGGTATGGAAATATAATGAACAGAGTGAAGGAAGCGAATCTTAAGAGCTAATGTAGCACCAAACCATCATCAATCATATTTCGTTAGAATGTCTCGCATTCACATTCAAGGCAAAGAAATAAAAGAAACAATAAGAGACAATCCCAAAGGTGGTAAAGTTCAGAAACTAAGAGTTTTGTGAGATTATTTCTTTCCAGTTTCAAATGTAGATCTGATAAAAAATTACTTCTATGAAAGTAATCAATTAAACTTCAAGAACTAGTTGCCATCCCAAGGAAAAAGATAATATAGACAGGAAATTGTCAATCATACGTTGAATTACATAGTGCAATTATGTTAACATGACCAGTTCCTTTTTCTTATAATAGTTGCTTACTAGAAGCTAAAAACGGTGCAGTTTATGTGAAAGAAAGTGCAGGATGCTTTTCACGGCATCCTGCAGTCTAAGCCATTATTGCAGTTGTATTTTTTCCTGGATAAAGCTGTCTCTGCGATGGCGTGAGTAGACTGAGAGATTAACAATTAACAATTGATTAACAATTCATCATATCAATTTCTTACGCACTTCTGATTGAGTCTCTATTTAAGAAAGATATAGGTCTAAAGTTGATATCTTTCCTCCTTCATGATAGATGTTTATCAATTTCTTACGCACTTCTGATTGAGTCTCTATTTAAGAAAGATATAGGTCTAAAGTTGATATCTTTCCTCCTTCATGATAGATGTTTAGCTCAAAATGTTTGTAATTCAATTTATTTAAATACCTAAGGGCTAACATTCTTGAATATTTTAGGTCGGGATAATAAAGTAATCCCTATACCGTTTATGAAATCCATAAGAGATAACTTTTTAATTATACAGCATCTCAGTCTATTTTGATGACCAAAAATTATCCTTGCTGTTCTCCTGTATGTAAACTTTAACATATTCATTACCACCTTGGATTTTTGACAATTCCCCAGTGTTTCAAGTTCCCCCAGCCACCTCTTCCTATTCTCAATATGCATTCCCTCTTACTCTTAAGTCCTATCTGATATTGTTCTTTTTTTCTTCAATGTTTACATCCCCATTTCTTAACTAAATGTAAATGTTTATTTCTATTCAAGCTCCTCTCCCCAAAAATTACCTGCCAAAACTCTCTGTTACTATTTCTAGTTTCCTAGCATATAAAATGTTCTATAATATTTTAGGATATTGTATCAATACAGCCAACAGATATACAAACTTTATCACTACTGCTAAATAATCATGCAGCCTATTAATTGGGTTTTAATTCAAAGCAGCATATAATAGCTATTGCTATATCATTAATACACAATAACTGAATTCAAAATCGCATTTAGTTGTAGTTTTAAACACTGCTATAAATAGTTCAGAGTCAAGCCTATGAACAAGCAAAGGTAGCCATTGTGTTTTCTGACTTTTTTTTTCATTTTAAAATTGTTTTGCCATACTCTGCAAATTGGTAAGGCGTATGGGTAAGGAACACCTGGAATAAGCCAAGAAGCCACTAACCTCAAAGCATATTTACAGATCATGCTAAGAGACAGGTGATCTTTTTGTAGTACATGCTAAATCACACATTTAAAAAAAGGAAAATTAGATTTTAGTGCAAAATGTGAACCTATTGTACATCAATATTAGGCTTCAAAGGCAATTGAAGTATTTGTTTGTTTACTGGAGCATCAAAGCAGCAAAATACCTTTGTTGTCTGCAGCAATAAATCCCAGAATGTTCTCATGGCGCAACATGACTGTTTGATAGATTTCAGCTTCTCTAAACCATGATCGCTCTTCCCGTGATGAGAAAATTTTCACAGCTACATCACCACCACGCCATCGCCCACGCCACACTTCCCCAAAACGACCTTTGCCAATGATTTCTTGGAGGACAATTGTTCGTGCCACAGTACGCTGGACAAACAGTGGTAAGCCTGAAAGCAGAGAATGAAAACAAAGCAAAAGACAATGACAAGAACAGTAAGCTCACCTTGATTTTATCATCCTTCAAGTATACACACATCTGATATAATTATACAAGATATCAATGTAACATTTCCCCCCCGCCCCCCAAAATGGGAATATTCGCACTACTCAGGTGACCCCGAAGACACAGATAACCACCAAGTGGCCTCAACTACTTTCTAAAAGGATGCCAATGACCAGCTGTCTGCAAGGAGTATACTTCCATTCCCTACCATCCGGTCAGTACTGAAGAAGCTTCTCGGATGAGAAGTGAAACGTCTTCCAAGAAAAACAAAGTCCAGTTGCCTCTTGAAAAAGCACCTTTGAGACCTTTCTTAGATTAAAAAATAGATATTTTAGAAATGAATGAATATGTATGTCAGTTCTAGTGTCTTTTTTTCAGTACACCACACCTTCAAACTTGATGTAAACTGAACCTCTTTACTCAACTCATCAACTAATTGCAAAATATTTTGTTTTGAAGCTTCTAAGTTTTTCTTTTACTGTAATTTAAAAATTGGATCTGGATATTGGATTCTAAACATTAGTACTACTTGCTTTCTTAAAAAAGAAACATGGGGATTTTTAAAATTGATTAAAACTAACTGTTTTGGCAAATCTATACCTGTGGAATTGGAACTTGGACAACTTGTGGCGTGCTCTCATGAGAACACCTCATTTTTCTACTTAATCCTGTGCTGACTGAAATGGACTCCGAGTAGTTTTCTGTTACCTTTCGCTTTATATTTATTTTTAGACACTAGATGGTGCTATTCACTAGAGTCCACAGATCAACTGAATTTATAAATAGCACTTTCACTAAGACTTATATACCACTTCATAGTGCTTTACAGCCCTCTCTAAGGAGTTTACAGAGTCAGCATATTGCTCCCAACAATCTGGATCCTCATTTTACTGATCTCGGAAGATGGAAGGTTGAGTCAATCTTGAGCTGGTGAGAACTGAACAAAATTAGTCTGCAATACTGCATTATAACCACTGCGCCACTAAGGCTCTTAAGTAATCAGTTTATCATTGACTGGCTCAAAAAAAAGAAAGAAAGAAAGAAAGCATTTGGACCTGAAGAATTGGAATTCTTTAGGATTGTGTTTGAAGAATTGACAATAAAAGTGACACAATCTATAGGAGATACATTTGAGATGCTGGAGAAACAACTGGACAATAAGTTGAATTACTGGCAAAGTTAAACAAGTGAATGACAAAATGGACTTTCTGGAAAATAGAATGGGGCCTAGAGATGCTTAGCTGGATAGAAGACTAGGTAATATTATGTTACTGAAACAAAGTTTTTAAGACTTGGAGCTATTCCAGAAAACCCTGATAAAAGTATAAGACAGTAGTAAATAAAAAACAAAGATAGTTAAAAAATCAATGTACAAGATTAGTTTTAAAATTGAGATGAATTTTAAATATTTGGTGATTACATTGACTAACATAAATTGTATGTGGGTTCAGAATAACTATGGGAAAGTGTGGAATGATGTTAAAAAAGATTTATTGAGGTGGGGCAAATACATCTGTTTTTGTTGGGTATAATTTCTGTAATTAAGAAGAATTTTTTCCCAGGATGCTATTTTTGTTTTGGACAATACTGATATTAATATTTATTAAAATGGTAAAATATTTTCCCTGCCAGTCAGTCGTGCCTGATTCTAGGGGGTGCTGCTCATCTTCAATTCACAGCCTAAGAGCCACCATTATCTGAAGACGCTTCTGTGGTCATGTGGCTGCCATGACTATACACAGAGGTGTACAGAACATTACTTTCCAACCAAATTGGTACCTTTTAAACTACTTGTGTCTATATGCTTTTGAACGGCAAAGATGGGCAGGAGCTGAAGTGAGTAACTCTGTCACATGTACTTAGGTCTCAAATTATCAGCTTTCTGGTTGACAAGCCCATTGTCGTAACTGCTTGGTCACTGTACCCACCCACCCCAATCACTTTATTAGGCATGCCAAATTGAGGGTTTGGAATAAGTATAATCCAAGAATGACTTCCCTAAAACTCCTCTATTGTTGTCCCTCAAGAAACCTTTTTCAAAACAGAAATGATAGTCATAGGAATCTGGTCGACTTATCTAAATTAAATTCAAGAGAAGAACTGATAAAGGAAGTTCATATCTGTCAGCGATTATGCTTGGTGATAAAAAGTTTAAATTGGATAAAAACTATGATTTTGCAAATGAGAAACTTGACTTTGAATTAGATTGATGAATGTGATGTTGCTAAGATGCATAAATTTAATAAAAGTTTATACAGAAGTTGATTAGCTTAAAGATTGTATAATCACATGGACAAAACAGTTTGGATACAATATAATGCTTGATCAGTAGGGGAAATATATGGAGTCAAGGATTGAAATTACATTGATTGGATGCTGAAAAGAAAAATGAAATACAGGAATTTTTTAGGTTTAATGTTGGATGTTTTGGTCTCTTTTCTCTTTTTTTGCATACAAATCATTGTTGTTACTGTTGGACATTTGTTTTTTTTGTTTTGTATTTATTCTCATTGATAAAACACAATAAATATATACACTGAAAGAAATTATATTGAAATATAATTTGAAAGAGAATTTCTACATGATAATGTATCATTGGTATTAATACTGGATAAATTATCAAAGGTATGTTGGAAAATATATGTTGGAAATGCAATCAGTGTTAAAGTACTTTTTATCATTTTTGATAGACTTATAAGAAAGCTAAGAAATATTGGGATCAGATTATGTACTTAAATTCAGATAATTCATAAAATAAATATACAATTGAAATAAGAAATTTTGCTTTCAGGTTTGATGGACAAACTGAAGGAAAACAGAACTTTGTTTTTATATAAGGTATCAGCAAAACTGTTGCTTGCACTGAGGTGGAAGGGTTTACAAATTCTTACAAAAGAAGAACAAACAGTGAAAATTTATGGAACTGAAGGAAATGGCAAAATTAACTGCTTTGATCAAAGAGATGAGTTTATCTAGCTTTGTTTCTCTTTGAAAACCACTTTAAGATTTTTTACTTGAAACTGAAAGCAATAAAAATTTTATTTTGGGATTTTATTATTATAAATGTTGATAACTATAGAAGTACAGTGTATTATGATGAAATTTAGAGTAAAAGATTACCATACTTTATATTTGTAGCTATATCAAAGAAAGCCAGAAGCTATTCTCTTCTCTGATTTTTTATATTTTTCCTCCTGTATTAGATTTTCTTGACTCTCACGTTTTCTTTCTTAATGTTTTGTTCTTTTGTATTTTCTCATTTATTGAAATGTAATAGTTTTGTAAAAGAATAACATTGTTATTAATTACTAATATTTCATCTTGTTTGTTAACATTCTTATCACTAACTTTAGTAGAAACAGTACTAATAGAACACTGTATCTCCTTGATTTCAAATTTAAGTTACCTGTAGCTCTGTACAACTTATTTAAAGCATGAATTGCATGCTTTGGAGACAAATGAATTATTCTGAAGTGTAATTTTAGCTTTTAATATCTTGCAGCTACAGTTTGTGGCAAACACTCCAGTACAAATAAAACATTAGGTAGCCATTTAGGTGGAAGTTGTGCAAAAACTCTAGGAGGCATGGATATTCATAGGTTAATACTACAGATTACCATTTATATATTGACGTTTATAATAAAAAAGCTGAACATCTTTATTTAATAGACACAGTATACCTGAGCCAGAGCCAGAAGTAGACAAATCATAGACTAGATCTTGCAGAGTCTTATCCTTCGATAGACACATCTCACAAGAGGGATCCTCCATGTCCAATCGCTGACGATTGTGGTACACACGTGGATGGTGATTGAAGACAAAAACGTATATAATCATAATGATGAACACAAGAAAGACTGGTCCTGCAATGACAGCCACCAGCTCCACAGGTCCCCAGATTGAAGAAGTTTCATTATCCTTCCAATGTCCTGGAGAGGGAAGACAAGAAAGAAAAGCTTCGCATTCAAACCCAGTATATAGCTAAGGGTTAAAAAAAAAGCAATAGGTCTACATTTAATAGATTTGAAAGTATACAGTTGAAAAGTAAGGGTAAACACTTAAAGAAATTGACACTGGCTTAGAATCTCAGGGATGCACGTACTTCAGTACAATGAAATCAGAAACATTTATTTTTACTGATTAAAAAAATGGAATTCCCCCATTGCTGTTGCACCAAAAACAGAAAATCGGGATTCATGTTCATAATATGAAATTTCTGTTTAGCATTACATATAAACAAGTAACTGCAAACAGCAAAGACCAAATAAGATGAAATGGGAGATGGGAGGAGCTTGCGCCGTGGCGATACGGTCTGCAATCGAGCTCCTCGATTGCAGCCGATATCTCCGCCACTGGCCGGTCCAACGGACCTACGCTGTCCCGTAGGGACAGCCATCGTGAAGAGCATATCCTGAGGATTCCGGGGATACCGCAAAATCCCTGGAGAGCCCGGGTGAAGCTCTTCTTGCCAGCGGCGGAGAGGCAGCCCCCATGCTGCTGAGGCCGGGGCGACTCCAGACGGAAAGAGTTTGAGAAAGAGTTTGTCGGTTGGGTGAGAACTTCTTTTTTTTATTTAATTTTTTGAATTTGGAAAGTTTACTCTAATTATCTGAAGAAACCTGTGTGATTTTTGTTTTGTTTTTTGACAAAATTGATTTAGCGGCGTTTTTTTAGGGAAACGTCAAAGAGAGAATCCATTTTTTTTCTTTTCTTTGCTTTCGGACTCTATTGTTACTTATTGGATAACTGGACTGTTTTCTTTTTTCTATATATTCATATGTTTTATTCTTTTTCTGGACTTTTTATTTTTATTTTTTCTGGGCTAGAGGCTTCTCTTGATTTTGTTTGATTTTTCGGTGTTTGTTTTGTGTATTGCAAGCCGGCTTTCCCTTAAGAGAGGAGGGGGGAAAGTGAGAACTATGATACTTTGTAACACTGCCACCTAGAGGCTCGGAAATATTTAAAAAAAAGAAAAATAGACTCTTCTTCTCAAGGACATCCCCTGATAAGATAGAGGAAAGCACTTTGTGGAATATTATTACAGGTGTCTTTCTGGATATACATGGCTCAGCTTTGAAGCTTGTGGGAAAGAGAAGGGAGTTATAATTAGAGCCTTGGATAATTAAATAGAGTGCAGTGTTGTTGTTTTTTTTTTGAGTTCTGCCAACCCCTTCACTAACATCAAGGTCCTGACTTTTAAGCTTGATTTATTTGCAAAGGGAAGCCTCTGAATTTCTTTTTTCTACTTATATTTTATTTTGATTTAACTGATTTTATTTTTTCTTTTGTCTATTTGGATCCTGTTTTCTCTTTTTTCCTTTTTTTTTTTTAATGTACATTAGCGGACT